AGAGATTAGGTAATAAATTGTTTGGGTAGAAGGACAAAGAGTCCAGTGTAATGAAGAGCTATTTTGATTGCATTGATAACAGAGAGGAGAGTAAGAGAAGTTATGTTTGTGAAGGATATGAGGAACAGATAGTTCATCCAGAAGGATTTTAACTCTGAAGGTTTTGAGAATAGATGAGTGAAAATTATAAGCAAAGTTAGAAACCTTTTGATTATTATTGATATAAAGCCAAGTGACTTTCTAGTTAATATTAGGAGTAATAGTAATTACTGTTGAAAATGATGTTAGGATGTCCAAAGTGTTATAATGTAAGCTTGACAGATAGTACAGATAGAGCGTCGAATAGAAATTTCAATAGGAAATTGGTTAATAAATAGTATATAGGCAAGGTTGTAGAAATTGTTAGTTAAAAATGTTAAAAAGGGTAGAGTTTGGTGACAATGAGCAAGTTGATCAGCAAGATTATTAAATAGATCATCTTGGTGTGCAGTAACTTTGTGAAAAGTAAGCTAAATATTGTACAAGTTAATGAAGTTGATGAGAGTTTGCCAAATAGAGAAGTATAGAGTATGAGTATGAGAGAGTTTGGATTATAATAAGCAGATACTATAATATTTTGAAATTACAGATTGTGAGTTTGTAAAGATGTAAACAGAACAGTTTCTAGGAGCAGTTATAATTGCTAAAAGAATAGCAAGAATTTCAGCTTTAAAGAAGCATAGCGAGAGTTTAACTTGTGCCTGAAATGAGTGAATAGTTGCAGAGTTATCAACTTGAATCCAACCTATGCCCATAGAACATTGTGAGATACCAAGCTCAATAACAGAGCCATCAGTATAAAATGAAATAGTGGTTAGATTATAGTTGGAATTAGCAATAGACTATAAGCTATTTGTGAGTTGTTTAGACTGAAAGATATAAGGTAATTGTTGTGGGTTGATTATTAATGAAGAAGGTAGTAGAATATATACATTAAATATTGTTATACTAGTGTATTTAGCAAATTGAATATAATCACTCATTATATTTCTTTTTAATAATAATTTATAATATATCAACTGAACTGTAATATACAATCTTACATACATATTCTTCTAATATATTAGAATTGACTTGCAACTTTTTTAATATTTTTTCATTATCAATTTTCATTAAATTTGATAGTTTTAATGAAAGATCATTAAGTGTTGTAATATTATATCAATATTTGATTGCTGTTATATAAATAAACATACAATCAAGGAGTGCAGTAATCTAGTGAAGTAGATAGGTTGTTAACCTCCAAGTGGCAGGTCTAGAGTTCAAATCCCAGTAATGACAAAAATTTGCAATTCTTTATGTGTTATGGCTAACTGTCTTCTATGATTAGTTGGGATAAGATACCTGTAACCCATGTCATACCAGTCTAACTGGAAGGTCTAGGCATTCATGCAATATTATATGAAGAAACACAAACTGGTACTGGGTGGTGTGAACCTAAGATAAGTCCTTAGGGCATATAAATCATAGGAACCAGGTAGAAGGATGAAAGCCCACTTAGAAGACCCAAGTAGAGAGGTAATCCAAACTTTTGATAGTATTACTGTAAAGACTAGACCTATAAAATGGAGCTAAAACTTGTGAAACTAGGCAAAGAGCCAGCCTTTAAAGAGGGGCTAAATGGAACCAACCAGGCCACCAGAATTTTAGAGTTCTAGAGGAAAAGGTTATATGCCAGCAAACATGTAAACCAAAGGTGTATAGTTATGATCTGCCTTTCCAGGCTATCTGGTTTGGGAGCTTGGTAGAACTTGAATTGAATACCAAAGTAGTAGGGATATGTTGTAAAGTTAATACCAGGGTTGGGATGAACTCTACAAGGGCATAGCAGTTAAATGGTATGCCTTGACCACCAGTGTTGGTCGTAGCCATAGTAATATTAGGTCAGCTGTAATAATGGGATACAGAAGATTCTGGAAGGTTTATTACAAGGTCAAAGGTTCCTCATGTGAGTGAACTGCTTTAAAGACTTAGTGACTATAGCATATTTGCACTGATATCAACAAAGGCATCTTGGTAGGTGTAGGTAAGTAGGTGGATATAGGAACAGAGTAGTTAAATAGGGAACTTACAAGTAGATTTCAGGTATGGCAGCTAGTATAGAACCTTCGGGTGGACTACTTAAATTAGATAATAACTAAAATTGTACAAGTTGCTAGTTGTATACTCTTTCTATAGTTGCCTCCTGTAGTTGTAATACAACCATTAGCTGAATGCACTATTAATAAAATCCTGAGTCGCAAGTACTTATCTTAATATTTAAAAAAAAAAATAAACATACAATCTAAATTTTTTGTTTCTTCATTTAGAACATATGTAGATCAATTTTTCTGATAATCCACATTGAACTAAAACATTATTTAGTATATTACTTAATACAGTTGGAAACGTTTTCTGTGCCTATATTAATAAATCTAAAAAAACTGTTTCTAGTAAATGAAAATATTCACAAGTTCTATTTTCCATCAGATTTACTTTTATTTTTCTATTATTAATATTAATTCCTGCAAATTCATATTTTTGCATTTTCTCTTCAATATCTTTATTAACAACTTGTACTGTTGTTTCTCTAACATATTATTTTATTACAGATTTTTTTTTATTAAAAAAATTATCAACAAATTGTTTTTTAATTTTTAATATGATTGATTTTTGAAATACGAAATTCTAATCATAACTTCCTGTATTGTATCCAATTTCAAAATCTGGTCTTAAATATCTAAATAATTCTGCAAATTTTAACAATAAATCTTTTTGATCTATTGCATTAATGAAATCTATATTATCTATATTATAAGTTTTTTTAAATAATTCATTATTTATTGTTAATGTTGATATATTGCATCATTTTAAAGATTCTTTACTATTCAATAAACAAAGATTCATCTGAATTATATAAACATAATCATTTTTTTCTTCACCTATCAATAAAAATCCTGGATCTCGCATTGAGCAAGATTCCATATCCCAATATAATATGAATAATTTAGGTAATGTTGTCAATTCAATCTTTTGTATTTGATCAAATGTAATGTTCATATCATTTACTAATTTTAATTCATCAGATCCTTTAGTTATTAATTTATACCATCCAACTAATTCAAAATTATTTTCATATACTACTTTTCAATAATGATATGTATTATCATCTGAATATGTATCATATCATAACCAAAATATGTCTAATAATTTATTGAGTTTCACTTCTCTCATTTCATGTTCTCTAGAAAATTTTATACATTTTCCTTTATATTCTTTTTTTTGCCTTGTTTTATCAACTCTATATCTTTTAATTGTTCTTCAAATCTTCTTTTTGAAATTTAATCTTATCAAGTACTTTTTTTTGATCATTATAGGTTGTAAAATAAAATTGGATAAATTTAAATTTTTCAGTAGAATCAAATAGTTGTTTGTAAATAATTTTATAACTTTGAGGTTTAAATTCATTTGTATATGATAAAATAGAATTTTTTTGGTTTAATTTTATATTAAAGAAGATATCTTGGATTATGATATTGATTAAAAATTGTAACCATTTGAACAAACTGTATGTAATCATAAAAAGTATCCTTTATTATTTGAGTAATCAATTGCATTATAAATAAAAAAAGTGTTTGTATCAGGTTCAGTAATAAAATCTTCATGTTTATTCATTTTATGATTATATACAAAAATATCTATCTGGTCTTTTTAGACTAGATAAATAACTTTATCAATTTTTTAAACACTAATTAGAAATAGTTTTATTTAATAATTTGTTAAATTTAAGTTCTAAAATAGTTTTGATCTCTGAATTCTGCATGTTTTTTAAATTCAATAAAATAGAATTTTTGATTCGCGAATTAATTTTTTCTGTAAATAATTTTTCATCATTATTATAACTAAAGCTTTAAATTTTTCCTTCCATTCATTAACTTGATATTTTGTAATAAAAAAAATAATCTTTTGATAAAAATTATTAAAAGTCTGATAAAAATCAAGATCCCAAGTTTTTTGAACAAATTTTTTAATAATTACTGCAGAAGAATCATGTTTATTAATCAATTTAAAATCAGATTGTTCTTTAATTGTAATAAAATTATAACCAAATATCTTGTCAATTGAATCAAATATCTGTTCAATATCTTTAATTAAGATAAATATTGGATATTTATCATTATTTTTCTTTATATAATTATTTTTATATAATTTTAAATGATCACAATAATTAAAAATATGTAAAAAGTTTTTTTGAAATATTGTTTAACTTTATCAGTTTCAGTTCAATTTAACTATTCATTTAAATTTTTTTTTTGTAGTCTGGTCATATTAAGACCATGTAATAAAAGAAAAGTTTTATATTAATATTTTAAATAAAATTTGAATTCTAAAAGTTTTAATTTCTTTTTTGATAAAGAAATATTAAATTATATATAAAAAAATTTAATTGATACAAATGCACTAATTAAAATAAATAATATTTTTCATTAATTTGCTGTTCTAAAATATTATTAAATAACATATAAGCCTTTTCCTCATTTTATTTAACACCTCTTTCTATTTTATAACAATATGCTACTTTAATTAGTCCTCTCAAATATCCTAAATTTGCAAATTTTTGATAATATTCAAATGCTTGAACTTCATTTTTATTAACAACACTATCTTCTCCAATAGAATAAAATTCTTCAAGTTTATAAAATCCTTCAGCATATCCTAGTTCAGCTGATTTTTTATAATAATCAAAAGCTATTTCTCTATCTTCCATAACACCTTCACAATAATAATAAGATAAAGCAGTTAAATAAGTGGCTTTAGAATGCCTTAAATTGTAGATTTTTTAAAATAAATCACTGCTTTTTTAATATCTTCATCAACTCCTATCCCAAATCTATAACAATATCCTATTTGAAACATGCTGCTTTTTTATAATACTCAAATTTTTTGATTTTAGTTTTTTTAATTTTTGCAAAAACAATTAAAGCATTAGAATTTTTTTGATTGTTTAAACAATAATTGATGACTTTTTTTAAATCATGATTATTTAGTACTTGATTTTTTATAAATTAAATCATATAATTCATTAATGATTTCATCCATCTTTACATATAAAAAAATCTATCTGGTCTTTTTTTTTTTTTTTTTTTTTTTTTGCTTTCACTAAGGCTATAGTTATTGGCGACTATTGCCTTTATTGTATTTTAATTATGATTACATAACTTGTACAAGGTGAGTATACAACTAGCTATATGTACAACTTTTGGTTATCTAATTTAAGTAGTCCACCTTCACAGCAGATTCTACACTAGCTGCCATACCTCAATCTACTAGGAGATTACCTATTTTAAACACTCTAATCCCTATACTTATACTGATAAATAGCACATACAAGTTCCTGTACACCTAAGTGCCATATAACATAATCGTGGCCTTGCTGTCTGTATATTCATCAATCTGTTACACATTTCAGAGTATGTCACCTGACTTGTAGGGCTCTAGGAGGCCCTCCTGCTAACTAACTACCCACATTTAGTATCTTGTTAGCAGAGCTTGCCCTTGCAGAGTTCATCCAGACCCTAGCACTAACTTTATAGCATATCTCTAGTACTTTAGTATACCTTTGTTTCTGAACTCATACTCCCAATCCAGATAGCCCAGTAGAACTGTGACCTGTTCCTGGTATGCCAGGGTCTGCCCCCCAAGGTCCTTTTCTTTTGGTTCAAACTTTCAGCGGCCTGGTTGGTGGTACCCCTTACCTGAGATTCTTGCCCACCCGATTCCTTTCACATTGATATCTGTTTCCTAGGTCTAGTCTTTACAGTAGTAATATTGAAGATCTGTGTTACCTTTCTACTCGGGTCTTCTCAAGTGGGCTTTTAGTTATTCCAGTTCACAGATTTACATGGCTACAGATGCCTCATGACCTGCCAGTTATTTGGTGTAACCATGTTACAGGTACTGATCCCAACTAATTGATAGATAGCCATTGTCATAATACCAGTTTTAAGAACTTATCTTGTGTTTGCACTGCCCAATGCAGTTTGTATTTCTCTGTGTAACTCTAGTATTGCACAAATGCCCATATACATCGAAATAACATAGGTGGTTTTCCAAATTTTCACTGTCAGTGGGTTTTGAACTCCCAAACTACCACTTGAGGGGTTGACAACTTATCCACTTCACTAAGTCGCCACACCCCTAATCTATCTGGTCTTTTAAACTAGATAGTAATAAAATATCTACTTTTTATTAACTTGTAATCGACGTAATGATTTTAAAACTAGTGGTAAAATATTATTATCTCTATTATAATTATTTTTAACATTATTATTAAAAAATTCATCACATGAAAAACAAACAATATGTTTATGTGAAATATATTTTTTATCATAAATATAAAATACCTTATTATCAACTCCTTCATGTACAGGACAAGAAAAAGTTTGACAATCAAAATTTTGTTTAAGCATATATTCTTTTTTAATAAAATAAAACAGAAGTATACAATATTCACATATAGTTTTTGCAAAAAATAGAATTTCAAATAATTTTATTAAATGAAATTGAGAACTGGTGAATGTACTTAATTCAAATTCATTGTTATTAAAATATAAATAAATTATATCATTTTTATATTTTATATAAAAAGGTATTTTAGTTTGACATTCATAAGTAGAAAAATCTTTACATGCTAAACAATATTTTATTCCACATGTTTTATAAATTATTAAACAAATTTAGCCATAAATAACAAACATATTTTAGTTGATAATAGCTTATTTCATTTATAAAAATTTTTTAAAATAAGCAAAAAGAAAATATTGATATAAGAATCTCATTAGGAACAACAATCATTATAATAAAAATTATATATTAAAAAATCTATCTGGTTAAAAAACTAGATAGATTATACAAATAATATAAATACTAAATAAAATACTATTCTTTAATTTTAATAACATCAGAAATAACATGTTTAGAGATAATAAGATCTAAGTAATTAATAAAATCATCTTTAGATAATTTAAATGTTTTTCCTTTAAGTGTTAAAATTTTTTCTTTATGTTGTACTATAATTTGATTGTAATTAAAATCACTATTACAACATTAATCAATAGAAGCATCTATTTGAAAACTTAATAAATTTTTATAATCTTTAGTAAGATCTTTATTATGATCTAAACTATATAATATAGTTCAATAAATTGACAAGAACAGAATTTTTCTTTTTTCACTTTTTTTAATTAATTCACTTATTTCACAATCATATATATGATTTATATTAGTGTTTAAATTTTCATTATTAAAATCCATTTCAAAAGTTTAGAATTTTTAATTTACCAAAAATAAAAAATATTCAATTTATTAAACTAAATATTTAGTATAAAATAATATAATTCTTAATATCAAAAAATATTATAATAATATATTAAAAAATTGGTAATATGATTTAAGATCATATTTCTTTTTACATTGCTTTAAATCAAGACAATCTTTACATAAAACATTTTTGTTTTCGATCTTGACATGCTCAGAATAAATAGTATTAATTTTATCATTATATAAATTATATACTTGTTTAAAATAATCATTTGAACTTTTTTCACTAATTTTATTTCTTTTTTTTCATCGACTATTTGTTGTCTTAAAAGATGATTGAACATAAACAACTTTATAAAATTCAAGTTGATCTGTTTTAATAACTTTTCTATCAACATATTCTCTTTCTTCTTCTCTATTAACAAAATTATTGAATATTTTTACATCTCTGATAGTATGATCTTCAATGATATAATCATAATTCTTTAAAGTACTAATATGCAATGCTCTTTGCTTATAAAGACTAATAACTGCATATTGAAAAAACAAAAAATTTTCTGTTTTATAAAACAATTCAAGTTCCTCAGAAAGTTCAAGTGATGCCTCACTATAATAATAAACTAAATATCTAAGTTTTTCTAATTAATGTAGTAATAGTTATGAACATAAAGACTTTTCTACTTCAATTAGTCCAGTAAATACAATAATCTTTGTAATCTTCTTTTTTGATAGAATAATATAACTAAGGAGAAATAATAAAAAAAATAAAATCAAAGCCACAATAACTTCAATTGAAAGTGATTGAATCATTTTTATTTTTATATACAAAAAAATCTATTCAGTTAAAAACTGAATAGATAATATAATTTTTATAAGTAAATATAGATAAAATATTGTTAAACTCCTATTTTATTAATTTGAAAAACTTCATGGCTATTCAAACTATAATTACAATTATTCGCAATCTTATTATAAAATTTTGGTATATATTTTAAAGATTTATCTTTTGTAATATGAAAATCATATTTACCAAAAGTTGGATTACAATTATTATTACAATATATTGCTTGATCAATATGATCATGTTTAATATATGTTGCAAAACAATCACTTATTTTTTTATAATCAATTATGAATAGAAAACTATCTGCTGTTTTCTTATATTGTGAATTTCCATTCCAATCATGTAGATTATATCCACCTATAAGAAGAGTTGTGTTTTTAATTTTAGTTACTATGATAGTTGAACCTTGATTTCACATTTAGAATAAAACGATTGAGATGTTCATCTATCTGAATAACTATTATATAATGAATTAAATTTATATTTAAATCCTTTTGAATCTTCATCTTTTGTTTTATCTATTAATTTTGTTAAGATTAAAGCAATCTCTCATTTAATCAAATCTGATTTGATTGTAAAATTTCTCTATCTAATAAATGATGTATCATAATTTGGTTCTTGCTTTGAATCTATGAAATATTATACTATATTTTTAAATAAATCTTCAGATAAAGGATTATTACAATTCCATGCTTCATTCATAAATTCATTAAAAATAAACTGATAAAATCTAATATAATTAATTAATTCAAGTAAACTTTCTTCTGAATGATTTTTACTTCACTTAATTAAATATTTCCAAATCACATTCTCTTTTATATCAAGATCATCATGTTTAATAACTATTTTTAAAAAATCTTTTTTCAAATCAAGAAATTCATCATGATCAAATAAAACTTTTGGTTTTTCACAAATAGTTTCAAATATGCTTTTTTTAAGTTTTGTAAACATTGACTTAGTATTGATAAAATTAAATATTTTACATGATTGTGTTTCTAAAAAATCACTACCAATTAAACAGTCTTGTATAAAATTGATAAGTTCTTCAATTGACAACTTATCAACAGCAACTAAAAGTTTTAAAATCATATCAATATCTAAATTATTCAAATTGATAATTCTACAATATAGATATTTAAGAATAATATTGAATATTAATGCACTAATATAAGGTTGTAATAAGAAATTGATTTTCTTTTTTAGCCCAATTTTCTAATAAAGCATTTTGAAAATAAATTGATCTAACATGTAAAATATTTGAATATGCAAAGATCTGTTGCTTATTTAATCCTATATCAACTGTAATAATAGTATCATAACTATTATCTTTAGATTAATATAATAAATCTAAATTATTAACTAATTTAATAGTGAATATTTTTGATATTTCAAAAATTACATAAATAAAAATCTATTCAGTTTAAAAACTGAATAGATTAAAACTTTTCATATATTTCTATGAACCAACTATTAGAAAATATATTTCTATATTTATTTATAATATTCATCTTAAACATTTCATAATTTTCATAATACTGTTCTTTTGAACATTTAAATTCTGTTTGCAATTGTTCAATTCTTTTTAAAATACAAAACAGATTAAAAGTATTTAATTTTTTTAAGAATTCTAATATATTAAAATGTAATCCAAGTTCTAAATTATCTATAATTATAAAATTCAAAAGTAAACATTCTCAAAAATGTAAATTTCTTTCAATAAAATGTCATTATTATTAATCTTGGTATCATTCACCATAATACTATATAAATTTTGTAAAAAAATTGTTGTATTTTAGGATCATCAGTAACTTTAATTAAATTATTATTTAAAATAATTCGATCTGTCTCAAAATTAAAATTATAATAACAGAAAAATCATTTGAAAAAGTATTTTTCAAATTCAATTTTATAGGTTTAGATATTAATCATAAATTATCAATAATGTTTTTTGAACAAAATTTTGTAATATTTAAAATTTTTTGATCTTGCAATATATAATTTATTGTATGAGAAAAAATAAAATCATTACATAATAATTTTATTATTATTAAAATAATTTCAGTTGAAAAATTCATTTTATGTAAATAAAAATCTATTCAGTATTAAACTAAATAAATACTAAAAAGGTGAAAATTTATCTATGTTATTTCTTTTAATAACAATCTTACCAATAGAAATATTTTCTTCTAATAAATTATTAATATTGAAACTATCAGCTTTATAATCAACTAACTCTATATAATCATCATTATCTGATTCATAAAAATCTTTAATAATATTTACAAACTCCTCTGCATTACAAATTTTAATATTTCTTTTAGATGTAAGTGCCCAAAGTTTTACTTTAACAGTTGCATATTTTTTTCCTTTAAATTTTTACTATTATAAACAATAATTCCAAAAGAATCTAATGAAAATCTTGAAATAGTAGATTCAAAAACTCATACTGTTTGAACAGAAATAGATTTTTCAATATTTTTACATTGTATAAGAATAACTTTTTTTTTATAAGTTACAATAATATTGATTTCATTATTTTTTTGTGTCCCTTTAATTTCATAAACTAATAATCCAAAAGCTTCTGCAATTTTTTAAGTAATTAGTTCAAAATCATAACCAGATTGATAATTTGTTATCTAAAATAAAAAAAATAATTATGAATATAAGAATTTCTTTTACCAATGTTTGCAATACTAGCATCTTGAAGATATAACTTCAATTCTGATATCAGTTTCTTACAAAATAATAGAATATATTCTTAGTATAATGTATACATTTAGAATATACTCCTACTTTGTTATGACAGCATAATTTGTATTCACAAATATAAAGTAAGATAGAACATCCAACTTACATTTTTTTCAATAGTAGTTATTTTAATTTACATAAAGAAAAATCTATTCAGTTATAAACTGAATAAATATTTATTAACAATTGAAATTAATGGATTTTCAATTTAATTATTGCATTTATTATATAATTTATAAAAATAAAATTGATAAAGAAATTCACAATTATTACAACTCTCTTCTCTTTTCCATAAACCAAAATACTCATAACATCTAATTTTTGGATTTATTTTCTCAATTCACTTTTTTTTATTACGAATAATACAATCTATATCACATTGTGTATTTGAAACAGTGATTTCTTCTAATAAATAAAATTTGTGACATTTATCACAGATTCTTTTATGTTGATTTAAAATGTATCTCTTATCATATAAATAATATTTCTTTGAAGGATAAAAAATACAATAAATCTCTCTATTAGCTTCTTATTTTATCAATTTTCATATTTGTTTTAAATTAATTTGATTCTTGAGCCAAAACCATTTTTCATTAAATTTTTTCAATTTTAAATATAGTACATTTATGATTTGTTTTTCTATATTTAATATATTTTTGATAATAAAATAATACATGTTTATCAATATCAATCTTTTTGATAAAAGGCTAAGAAAAATAAACATGTCTTATTCATTCATTATAAATAAAAAAAAACATTTTAAAAATATTCGAGATACTTTTCATACATGAATTTGTCTTTTGAAAGATAAACATAAAAATATGATCAATAAAAGTTCAGTTGGTAAACTATTAAGTTTAAATTTATAATCAATCAGTTTATAATAAAAAAAATCTATTCGGTCTTTAACTGAATAGATAATTTTAATTTATTATTTAATGAATCAAACTCTATTTTAGTATTTAACTTTAATAATTGAGAATTATAATTTATTTGATTCTACATATTAATATAATCAATATTTTTTTTTTGTTTTAAATCTATTTCTACTCTTTCAAACATATAATTAACAATAAATATTTGATCATTTTCATTATCACTTGCTTGAATATTCCAAGCAGAGTCAATTATCTGATCGGAAATTTGTTTTATTTTTTCAAGTTCATTCATATTTATATTTACATAAATAAAATTCTATTTGGTTAAATAACTGAATAAATAAATATGTTTATTTAATAATAAATAAAATAGAAATAATATAAAAGTAAAACTCTTTCTGCAAATCCATTGCACAAAAATTAACAAAAAAATTGTCCATCTAAAACTCTTATAACTTTTTATTTTACTAAGACAACCGGTCCTGGTGTCTTAAGTAAACTTGTTCAGTTCAGTAAATTACATATATTCAGAAAATATTATAGTTCTAGCTCTCAAACTCACAGAGAAAACTGTACTGACAGCCTTTGGCCTTCAATTTTAGAAAATTAACTCTTTCGCAGTTTCTAATGCAATAACTTGTCTTATACCCTTAATTAAAGTTGTAGTGCACACTTGTCTTGTCAAAACAAGCCCTAAACGAAGAATTTTGACTAAATATTGACCGAACTACAGCTAAATTCATTTTTTACTCTTTTGTTAAACTCTTTTTCTACCT